ATGTATTCACTTTGCATCCAAATATCACCTTCCCCAGACCCCTTTTCCCCATTCCCCCTCCCCTTCTCCTCTGAGAAGGGGGAGCCCCTCCCTGAGTATCAGCCCACCCTGACAGATCAAGTCACAGGACTAGACACATCCTCCCCACTGAGGCCAGACAAGGCATCCCAGTTAGGGGAACATATTCCACAGATAGGCAACTGCTTTAGGGACAGCCCCCAACTCCAATTGTGGGAAAACCCTCAGGAAGACCAAGCTGTACATCAGCTACATATGTGTGTGTGGTGGGGCTAGGTCCAACCCATGCTCACTCTGGTTGATGGTTCTGGGAGTCCCCAGCAGTCCAGGTAGTTGACTATGTTGGTCTTCATGTGGAGTCCCTGACTCCTCCATGTTCTTCAATCCTTCCCAAATACTTCCACAAGACTGCCTGAGCTCCATCTAATGTTTGGCAGTGGATGTCTGCGTCTACCCATAGGCTGCTGGGTACAGCTTCTCAGGATAGTTACACTAGGTTCCTGTCTGCAAGGATAGCATTAATAGTGTCTGGGACTGGTTCTAGTTCACTTTGGGCCAGTCTTCAAACTTTTACCTACACATCCTCATAGGACCTTCTTCAGAACCTTCTTCTGAACCAAGTGCAGAGTTTTAGAATGAAAGGAAATATCTTCTCTATGTGCTTTAGCAATACATTGCAAAAGAGGAGAGAGAATGCAGAGGCTAAGAAAACATGGGAAACAGCGGAAGCAGCAATTATCAACCTTCCTAATGTTTCAACCACTTAACACACTACCTCATGTTGTGGTGACCCCCAAGCTTAAACTAAGTTTGTTGCTACTTCATAACTGTAATTTTGCCACTGTTGTGAATGTGTTTTCCAGTGGTCTTAGGAGACACATGTGAAAGGAGTTGTGACCGATAGGTTGAGAAACACTGATCTAAAGAAAAAAGTGCTGTTAAGAATTTTGTTGTCCCTTGTTTTGCCCCAGTGCTTCAGCCACTTCCCCCAGGGTGACTTCTCTTATGTTTTTATGTATTTTGGCTGTACTCTTTCTCCTGTACTCATGTGTCCCTGCTAAACATTTTGAGCTGGACCAGCAGGTTATTCTCCTTGGAGAGAGGACCAGGAGACCAGAAGATAAGGGGATATGAGAAGAAAGAAGACAAAATTTGGATCTGGGGACCTCTTGCTCAAGCTAGGTCTTATACCAAGCAAATTTATTAAGACGCGCAGCATCTTGTATACTATTTCCATGGAGGAAATGGGACAAAATTATCTCTTATACAATAGGACAAAGTCAGTAGAAGACTAATCAAACAAGTTTACACAAAGGGAACATAAGTTATCTCTAAAGAAATACAGACATATCACGTGGTGGCCTTGGGACTGATAACTCCAGTCTCTTTAGGGGAAAAAGCCAAGTTAACAAGAAAAACTTTAACATCTCTGAGGCTCCAGCTTCAGCTCGACTAGTATTGCCAAGTCTGCTTCTGAGCAAGGACACATAAATTGTTTGTTTTTGTCTTTTCATCAGGGCCTCTGAGAAAGCCTTGGATTGGTTCTGATCCCAACAACACAGCAGTTTAGAGTACTTGCTGTATGTGTACGATTTCAGGACTAACCACACATAGTAGATCCATTTGGTGTGCTCTTCCCTGTGGAAGACTGTTCCTACCATTCTCAGAATCCCTTAGTTGACTGTAGTTCTTTCTCAGGAAATAAGGTTCCATGAGACCTCCCTAACATTATATAGACTGACCATATTTTACACACACACACACACACACACACACACACACACAAATATGTGTGTATAACAGCCATTAAGTAATAGCTACCATAAACTTAGAGAGAGCAAGAGGAAGGTACATGGGATGGGTTGGCTGGAGGAAAGGAAAGGGATAAATAATATAATTATAGTGCAATTTCAAATTATAAAAACTAATCTGTACAAAAGCACTTGCTGCTCTTACAGGAGACCTGGTTTCTGTTCCTGGTACTCATGAGGTACCTTACAGACTCCTGTAACTACAGTTTGGTTTAGTTTCCCATGAGCACCAGGTTTGCTCCTCTACATATGTACATAGATGTAGTCAAACACCAGTACACATACAAAGATAAATATTTAAAAAATAAAATTGGGCCTAGAGTATTGTCTCCAAGGTTAAGAGCTTGGATCGCTCCCCCATGGGACCCGGATTCACTTCCCAGAGCCTTACTACTACTCTCTGTAACTCCAATTTCTAGGAGACCCAACTTATTTTCTGGTATCCATAGATATGCACATGATACACATATACAGGAAAAACACACAAACAAAATAAAGTTTCTTTAAAGTTAAAACAACAACACACAAAAAAATCTAGTTCACTAGACATTTAGGAGAAAGTGGAATAAGTAATATAATTATTTGTAAACTTGAGAATATAAATTATGCCAGTCTAAACTTACCCCATTTTGTTCAATAAATCATGCTTTCCAGATAGTCAAGTTTGTCACTGGTTACAATGCTTAAGTCTTAATAGTCAGTCTGCATCGCAGCGCCATTGATCCAGTGTTTTAAACTAACTCCCACTGTTCTGTGAGATGATAATTTGTCCAAATGTGACTTCTGGTGTTGTCAGAACCTGATCAAAAATCAGTATACAAAGTTTTCAGGGAATGCACATTCTTAGAAAGGAGCTTATACAAAAGTAGTCATTTCTATAGCATAACAACTCACAGCTGACCAAATACAAGAGAAGCTAAATGAAATTACCTCCTTTCCATTGACTGTCACTGAGATTTTGATTAAAAATTTTAGATTTGTCATAGTTATAACTGTCTTTAAGCAAAATATTTCTCTCTTACAAATAGCATACATGGTCTGAGAAAATAAATCTTTTGTTTTCTGAAGTGTAATTTTGATATGCCTCTGTTTTCAGAAAAGGGATTCATAGGAATAGATTTGACCCTTTAAATAAAATTAGCTGAAGGCCAAATTTGTTAAACTAGTAATATGGCTGGCAATGATGGCATGTCAGGTGTTTCATTCCTTTCAAAGACCAAACCATGTCAAGAAATGAATGACTTAATAACTGTAAGTACAATGCACAGCTATAATACCAGGGGAAGGGACGTCTGCTGTGCCACAGGCATCTGCTTGTCTCCCCAGTCCTATGTCTCATGTCCTTGTCCTCTCATTTCCCAAAGATGTATTTATCACACCATTTTATATAAGAAGCCATTTCACTGTTTAATTTTATTCATGCAGTCTTGTGTACAGGTACCATTATAGCCACCCAGTTTTCCCTTCTGCATGTAGCTTTAGCCTCTAAGTCTCATCATAGTGTTTTTTTTTCTTTTCTTTTCTTCAAAAAGCAAACGGAGCATCATCTTTAAAAATGTCTGTCCATGTAATACAAAGAAGAAATACACAAAGGCACTCAGGGCTACTTAGCATAAAAACTTCTGATGCAGATGTACTGCATGGGATACTGTGTGTGTGTGTGTGCGCGCGCGTGTGCATGTGCGTGTGCGTGTGCGTGTGTGTGTGTGTGTGTGTGTGTTAGAGTTTAAGATTACGTATGATGCTTTGCAAATGCTATTCTGTTTTCTTCTCTCCTCTGTTCCTCCCTGTTTAACAGCAGACAAACCCAGGGAGCCTTGAATGAATCCGATGATCCTGAGACAGGCTGCCTAACTGATAACAAGCCAACTTCTCGACACTTCTATCCTGTCGCCTTGCTTCTTGTCAGCTCACACCTTCTCGTTGTGTGGCTTATTTTAAGTCTTGCATTACTCTTAGCCAAATACCAATAAGTTTTATGTTGTGTTCCTTCCTTTTCTACAAATGTCAATGGACTTTAATTCTGGGACAATGTTGTAAGATTTCTACATTTTCAGATTCACAGAATTAAAAAAAAACTAGAAGAAATGTTTGAATTGTGGTTTTGTTTTTGTTTTTCCCTAACACTTAAAGGCAAAAGGTACTATGCATTAAGTGGGTTATTTTGCTCCTTTGTTCATGGAAAAGTGTTTTCCCACTGTTAAGTAGCTAAAGACGAGTTTTTAACTTACTTTCTTTGGAAATAAGACAAAGAATAGAATCCTGCAAGCTTGAAGTGCTGAGCCTCCTCTCCCAGGTCTTTTCTTAACGATATCAGCTCTGACATTGTGCAGCAGTTAAGCTCCCAAGATGCGTCCGGGAATCGGAGGTTGCAGACTTTCCACTGTGCTAATGTTACCATAGTTGCCATCCGCTGATAGAAATGTGTCTGCTTTCTTACTGTGTTCCTAGTCATCCCTTACTCATTGATGTGTTTAACTTTCTGTCAAGTGACTTTATGAAAAGAATGGCTATTTCTGTTTTGTAATTAAACTAACCTGTTTGTAACTCTTGTTTGGGTTAATTTGGCTTTCAGACTACTTTTCTATTCTTTTTAACAAGGTCTCATTTGTGTCTTGATGCACCATTTTTAGCACCTGTGACTTTTGTACTGTGGTAGAGGTGCAGGTTGTTCAGAAAGCCATCTCCTCTCTGCACTACATAGCTAAAACAGTGAGGTAAAATAGGGATGGAACTTCCTTTAAAAAATCTGTAGGGCCAGACTTAATAAATTAAATGCCTTATTCCTAGAACTGCATCCTTAGGGCTACATGTAGATTTTAATGTGTTTTAAGGAACAGATAGCTAATTTGTGGAAAAGTTATACAAAGGCAGATATATTTATGAAATTAAAGTAAAGCCGTATTGTGAAGCAAATTATATTTAAAGAGTTTATTAAAAGTTAAATATCTGTTAAGAAACTTTAATCATATCTTTCCGAAGGCAATAATGGTATTGGGCCTGGCCTAGGATTTAATTTTGTAAGATGTATCATCACTTGTGGAAAAAAAATGTAGAGTTGAATCTTTGTTATTTTTACTTGGACTGTTGCTGCAACTCTGCATTGAACAAATAAAGCATATTTATTTATTCCGTGTTTCATGAAGTTGTCCTTTTGTCCCCTTTCCCCAGAGAAGGATGCCGCATAGAGAATGTCCTGAAGAATATCAAATGCAGGAGGTATGCTTTCAACATGCTACAGCTCCTGGCTTTCCCCAAGTGCTACCGACCTCCAGAAGGCACTTATGGAAAAGCTGACACCTAAGTGTACCAACATGGAGACAAACAGGAACACAAATACACTGAGCTTGGAAGATCTCCACCTCTGTCATTTTTATTTTTTACCGTTATGAGTTTGTGGGGTGAGACGCTCATGGGCGTTGTACACATCAAGGCCAACACATTACTCAGAAGGCAGCCCAGGTCTGAAGCCTTCCCAGCACTTCCGTGTCCACTGTATCTGCTCTCCTTTGTGTTAACACACCTCACTGGTTGAGGTTAGTTGAGAAAGTGTAATTCCATTTGTAGGGTACTTAAATAAAACATATCCTGAGGAAACAAGTTTTCTCCCATGGTGCCAGAGGTGACTGAGAGAATGCCACACTCTACCTAAGCAAGTAAAGGCTGTGGGTTCGTGTGATGTTACTTCAGAGTCTTGACTGCAGACAACCTTACAGCCGAGATTACTGGCTTTTATAAAATATGCATATAGTAAATGGAATTAGGTGATGGTCAACCGTGCCCTTGATTACTGACATGGTTTGCAGATATGTTTATACAAATCTTTGTCATCCAGTTCGTATGTGATTCCACTTTCTAAGCTGGTAGATGAAAGTGTGATCAGAGTCATGAGCTACAGCACAAAACTATGGCTCTTCATGAAACTCTGATGTGGGCTGGGTAACCCACAGAAACACAGCAATGTGGAGCCTTTAATGTTGTACGGGGAAAACACTTGAAGGTACTAAAGTTGCAAAGAAATTTAAAGTTAGTGCCTGCTGATGACCCAAATAACAATCTCCAGCAGCTTGAAACTCATTTAGAAAAAAAAATCATAGAAAAGGAGAGAGAGAGAGAGAGAGAGAGAGAGAGAGAGAGAGAGAGAGAGAGAGAAAGAGAGAATTTCGATCTATGAGATGTTCCCTGGGAGTCCTCTCTTAAGTGTATCAGTTTGCAGTCTGTCATAGGTCAATATGTACGAAGTGGAAAACCCTAAATCATGTGTACAGCCATAAATGGTAATAAATCAACACAATTCCTGTCAGGAAATCTGGATATCATATTTGTCCTTACAGTAAAATTACACAAATTTAAAATGATTAATATTCCAAGTTAGTCATTTCCTTGGAGACCATGTTACATAAGACCACCATGCAAAGGAAGCAATGACTGCAGAATAGCAATCTCAGTCACCCTTACCATATCACTCTTTAAACGTCCTAACCTACAGCTTCCTTCTTCTTCAGACTGTTACAATTTTTATGTATGAAAATTGACAGAGGAGAACCAAATAGAAATTAGAATTTATCACTGAATTATCATTCAGAATATAGTGATACGAAAAACAGTTGTATTCTTCCCTTTCTCAAAACACACATCTCCTCAGAGCATGCTAAAGGCTTCTTACACTGAGACCTCTCTGCTGTGACTTCACTCATGGAGCCATATTGTTTATCTTCATGGGTAACATGATAGCCATTTGCCTAAAATGTTCTGTCCGTGTAAAGGGTTTTCAAGTAGACTTCTAGTCCAATGTTGAGTTTTCCAGGGGACTGAAAACAGAAAATAACCCTCAGAGGCTTCTCATAATGGAAACATCCATTCTTTTTTTTTTTAAGCTAATGACATATGGTGGTTACCAAACTATGTATAACCTTCAAAGAGAAAAAAATGGATTCATATATAAAAACTTGTCTTAGTGTTCTCAGACCTATTCTCCATTTCAGTAATTTATTATAATGTTTCTAATTATTCTGCTTTTATCAAGGTATTAGGATTTGTGGTTATTTTTGTTACTGTACTGAGTTTAAGATAGAAAAAGTTGTGATCTATGAGGTTTTGTGTCTATCCCTGAACTTTTCTTAGTATCTCAAGTAGTGATTTGCAGCCCAGGACACCTTCTATAATTTTTAGGTCATAAATATTTTATAAATAACAGTTCATGCTTATGTATTGTTTTATAAATTAAGCATCTTAATTCAAATATGGCAAATAATTATTAACCTGAAAGAAAATATCATGGTTTCCCAGTTTTGCCTGACATTTCATAGGATCTTTTTCTTTGTCAATAAACACTTATGTAGACATATCAAAGGTTGACATCTGTAATGCACAAAATGAAGTTTCTTAGTCATTGCCAGCAGCACCACTTCCTATGGGAATCATATGTCTGTACATCCCTTCCACAGAGGATTTTAACAAGAAGATTCCCATTTTCTAAGTGTGACTGCTCTTCTCTGAGTGCACTCGGGCAACAACACCCTGACCCATCATTATCGGGGCTTTCAGAACCAAATAGTAAATGAAATCTTTTAAAAATCTCCCTTGCATAAACATTGCTACAGTTATGTGGCTCTGTTAGCTACCTTCACACTGTCTCAACCATGCGTTCATTTAAGAACTATACCAACAGCCATTTCTGGGAGATATGTGTGCTCAAACAATTTATCAAGAAAATGACGTATCCAAAGAATGAAGTGTTTTGTTTTCTTAAAAATATATTTTTTTCTTACCAAATGCAGCTATAAATTCTGGTTTAACTATGTACAGAGCCATCAGAGAAATATATTAAAAGCAAAAAAAGGGGGCACACCCATGATTATTATCCAAAGGTCTAGAGTGCGCATGTATCCTCGGGACAACTAAATGTACATTTAAAGCATCTGACTGAAGAAGAGGTACCCTTGTGTGCAGCAGCTCACTGAATTCCCACCTCTGCTTTTCTTCCTCAACAATGCCTTGTGCTTTACCACACACTGCTTAAAACACCTTCTAAATGCTAACATTTTGGTCAACCTGGTATTCCAGTAGGGCCACAATAACTATATGAAACAGCTGACGAATTCTTTAAAACCACTCCCCAGTCACCCAGTACTCTCTATGGCCACTAGGCACTCAGGATACTATTGCTTCTGACAAACAGTAAAGCCTTCGAACCAGCAGAGACCGAGTGATACAGCCCCTCCTCCTCCGTTTTTCATACATTAAGTGATTTTTATAAAATAGGACTCAGAATGGTAAAAGGGGAAAATGTGATACTTTTTTTCTAATCAGATCCCTCCCTCTGTAAAGAAGCTGTGCCAAGAGGCTTTCTCCCAGGTGTCCCTTAGGTGGCTCATTCAAGAGATGCTGTCACTGAGTTTTCTGGAATTGTGCAAACTGGCTGCTACATGCTACTGTGATTAGCCATGTTATGATATGAATTTGTTAAAAGTGAAGATGGAAACCAAATCTTATAACTTCCTGGCGTTTTTAAGCCAGATTTTGCTATCTATTACATTTCTAAATGTCGTTGATGCTGGTGGTTCCGCATTATTTAAATGCCGTGTTGGTGATATGCCACTGTGAACCACTGGACTCCACATTCAGCAACACAATGTTGGTATCTTGAAATCACCCACCATGGGAATACTCAAACCACAGAAATTGCCAGATGTTATAAACTAGGATATCTATTTTCTGGAACACCAGTTGTTAAACATTTACCAGCCAGTGCATGGCACCGTGCCACTATAGATTTATTTTTCTCCAGAGAATAACAAATTATTGGAATGAGGATAATATTAGGATGGTTTTTAAAGGAAAGCAGTCTTTTATCAGATTATTATAATTTTATTTTAGATTTTTATCCTCCTTAAGAAACACTGTTAGTCTATCCAGTATGTTGGATACTTATATTTTATTCATAATTCAGTTACTAAAAATAAAACAATTGTTTGTTTTATTAACTAAATTTTAATCATCTACTGCAAGTAGTCCTTAGCATCTAGCCTTACTGTAACTAATATGTCAGCACCGAATTCAGGAAAATGTTAATTTAATCATAAAATCCCAAATTATACTTCATCTCAATGTATAAGTTTATGATTATGGGCATTGTTGAAAGGAAAAGCAGAATTATATCACTATACCCAATGTTTACTAACTTGAGCACAGTTGAAACCCATCCTATTAAATAAATCTAACTCTGGCAGTATAGTAAGACAATGCATTTGATTCTGAGGGGGTGTGGCACCTCATTTTAGTCTAATCTGTTGGACACATTTTGTAATTTCTTAAGAAATAAATGATTTTTTAACACACATTTGATGAACATGTCTGAGAGACACTCTGACCAGCAGCTGTGGAGTACAACAGGTATATTGGGCACACAACATTTTTAATAGTTAGAACCTGTATTAAATACATAGTGCTCATCACTGAAAAGAATAATTAATTTTTAAGACCTAGCATGATTTATTAACAGTTTTAACATAAATTCATATTCACCCAGCCTACCTCCAATCCGTGTAAGCTATGATTCCGTATTTGTCATATAAGCTTTTAAAGTAAAGAAAGGAAAGAGGCTTATGTTTATCTTTTCTTTCTCAGACAGCTTGAAAGTAGAAGCTTCCACCCAAACATGCTAACTATAGCAAACACTGACTTCAAAAATACAAAGTTAATAACCAGCATTTTTGATAGATTATGGTAGACCAGTTAATATGGAGATTAAGAAAATAAATTCTTTTTTTTTTCTGAGCAATGGAGCATGTTGGTTTCTCTTTGACTTCTATTTCTAAGACTACAAAATACAACCGTGCTTCTAATTTAAGAGGACCCTGTAGTACCTAACTGGAGAAAGGGATGCATATAAGGTAATGCTAATCTCCAAACTGGTGAATGCGGTTGGTTTCCCGGAACTTGAATTTTCACTTGGGCATGCATATTTAAGGAAGTAGAAACTCAGAGTTTCGTTCCAGAGAAAGTGGACATTAGTGTAAATAAAACTTGCATAAATAATTCTCTCTATAAGCCATGTGCCATAGATGTATATTAGCACACTCTGATGCAGAAAAAGCAGACTTTAAGTAAAGAGGTATATACCATTCTGTGCTGGGAGAATACATTTTTCATAGTATTCCTACAATCATTTGCAATTATTCCTAGATAACAGAAGGGCACAATGTAACATTCTGTCTTTTATAATGATCTACTATTGTTCACCAGCAATTTTTAGAGAATCAAATTTGGCCAACGTTTTTATAATATCTATGTAATTTTTAAGATGAGTCGTGTCATGATCAACAGCAGAACCTATCTCGTGTTGAAAAGCCTTCACGTTTTTCAAAGGACAGAACGGTCATTTATCTGCATATGCCCCACCCTTTGTGCACTCTGTGTGAATATTTTATCTTTTAATTTAATACATTGTCAGATTCTATGGTATTCATTTGAAAGGTTGGCACTTGCTTTCTTTTTATGTTAAACATCTATTATAGATAAACCTATAATGTGTTTGTATATCCATACATCATGGAAATGAGTCATGAGCAGATCATTTTATATTAGCAGTTGAAGAAATATCACATTCATTTTATTTTGTGTAAATCATATTCATTGTGCACTGTATGTATATTTTTGTTGTAATAAATATGGTTTTATTTTTATGTTTCTGGCTTTTTTCCCATTGTACATTCTTTTTCATTGTAATCCATGTAGCAACATTTAAACGTTAATGGAAATATCAAAAAGATAGCACATATCACATTTCAAGGAGAATAGACCTCAGTTCTGCTGGACTACAATAATAACGCATGCTTTACATTGACAACCAGTTAGTATCACTTCACTGACAGACTGCGCTTCCATGGTCACCTTTGTTGAGGGAAGCATCAAGCACAACCTTCAAGCATAGTCAAAGTCAGCTGTGATGATTCTACTTTAGGAAATTATACATAATTATTTAAAAATTTTAGATGATAGGTAGATACATAGACAGGTACATAGATGACAGGTAGAGAAAAGTCAAAGGCAGCTGTGATGATTCTACTTTAGGAAATTATATATAATTATATATAACTATTTAAAAATGTAGATGACAGGCAGATAACATAGACAGGTACATAGGTGATGCGTAGAGAGATCGATAGAGATTTAACACAGTGAGCCCAGTTAATGCTGCCCACATGTGTGTATGTCCACCAGGACATAGGCTACTTACAGTAACCACGCTGTAAAAGAAGTGTGAGTCTCCCTCCCTTAGCAACTATCCTCTGTTCCTCCCCTAGCAATCATCCTCTGTCCCTCCCATCCTCTGCCAGCAGCTCCTTAGTGGGGAGTAGGAAAATCAATAATCTTTGTTGCGTAGATTAAATATAGAGTCCTTAGAACATGCCAAACTAACTCTTCCTTATAGACCACCTCAATCAAGCTGACCACTTGTGAGTCTTTATAGCAGATAACAATAGAATACAAATTCCAAAGACATTACTTTAGATCTTTTGCAAAGGAATTAATCAAATGAAGCCCTGAGTCATTTGTTAAGAGTGAACTTTTACCTTCTGCGTGTTTCAAGCATATAGCTGATGCAGCAGTGAGCGTTCCTCTTCTCTCAGGTCACTCCCAACAGTCCATGTTTTCACTAATCATCTTCCTGTAATAGCACAAGAAGGATGTTGGAGATAGATACACTATGAGATAGTATACAGTAAATTATAGCAAATACTGCTTAGCAGAGAGCTGGAGAGTAGCCTATATGAAATAATATTTTGTTGTTCTTTTAAGCATCCATGTACAGTCTCCTTGATTCTTATAAGTGAATGAATAAGATGCCCTAAGGGACTTGGAGAGGCTTTTGGGGGGCACTGTTTTGATCAGAGAATTCAAAAATATGTGTTGGTATAACTGATGCTGGTCAAGCCAACAAGTAGTCTGTGTGAATGTAGCAACCAAGACATAGTTCTGTGGCATCTGTTCATTTAATAGTAAGTACTGAATTCTCTTGATTTTAATAAACAATCAATGGCTCAAGAAAAATTATTTCTATAGACTTTAAGTCACATAGTTAGATATGGGGAAAGTATGTTGCTCCCATCCTGCTTACACCATTAGTACTTTCTTGTCCATGTGACTTATTGTTCACTGTGGTGCCTACTTTAAGAACTGAGAACTGTTCATGCCTCCTTTGGCATGAACAAAGGTTCTTTCCTCTTCAGTAAGTCACTGCATCCTTTGTGACACTTCAGCTCATCTGTGGTCCCATCTCAGTCCAGCCACTTTCCCTGCCTTCTGTATCCATGTCCTGCTTTCATGATGACACTAAAGTCCAAGTAAAGTGTTCATATTTGCTCAGTTTGCTCTCCCTTAAGATTTGCGGCTATTGTTTCCAAGAAGAATGCACTAGGACAAAGCGAAGCAAAGTGTATTTCTGAGTGACTACACCTAGAAAGAGACCATGAGTCAGTGCCCTGTCCATTAGATGAGGGCATATTTCAAGTTACCTAATGCTTCTGTGTGTTCACATTCTTATACATTTGTATCATGAAGGTAATAACATGGCTTACTACTCAGTGAAGCATGAGAAAGATGCAGGGATGGCCCTGATGTTGATGACTCCCGGGCAGAGATTCACTCCTGTGCTATTGCACAACATCTCAGTCTCATTATGATGTATGCTTCTGAAGTCTATGTACCTAAAACTACAAGGACTAGAACCTAAAATTAAATTGCTTTGACGTGTTTGCCACGGTACTACAAAAATTTAGCTGACAGAAACCACCTATTCCACACACAGAAGGCAGGAAGGGCGTCTTCCCTTTACCTGTGTGGACATACAGGTAAGAGTCATCAGAGTGAAGGCAGCAGGTAGGATCCTACGTCGATTATCCACACTCCAGCTCCCTGAGTGGGGCGGCTAAGGCTTCAGTGTGGGCAGGAGACACCAAAACAACATTTCCCTGACAGTCAGTTGACAATGGTGACCCCTGATAACTACATTAGAGTTGCTTAAAGCTACACGTTTCTCTTACAAGGTAAGATTTTAAAGTATTTCCAAGCAATTTTTACAAGTATCTCATTCCATTTATAAAAGGTAGCAAATGATTTTCTGCTACAAATAATTGGATTCTCTTTCAAAAATCAAACTCCTATTTTGTCTTGACATTTGCTGCTAATTATTTTATTATTTATCTTTGATATTTCTTAGGCTGTGTTTGTATTCCAGGATATCTGCCTTTCTGTGAGTGGATGTCCATGTTCTAAGATGTTTATAATTGCCTGGCTCTTCCCCTAGTTTATACACAGACCTTCTGTCTGTTAATAGGATCAATATGCTAGTCATAAATATTTGTAAGCTGGAATGAGCTTTGTCTCTCTCTTGCCTATTTACACTTAGTAATCCTTTTGTCACAAAGGTTGTAGACATTACTAACATGGAGTCTTGGAAGTATTACCACCCCTGGTCACTGCCAAGGGGATGTCTTTCATAAGCACCTCCCATTATCCCTAAAATTATAGTTCCACTCAAAATAAATAATGTTTTTTGTTTCATCATTCTACAATTGATCTCACTTTCCCTATAAGACTATTCTTCCAAACTGGGGGCCACTGCATAAAGTGCAAATACACGCACACATGTGCACACACACACATACATACATACTCATGCAGTACATATGCACAAACACACACACATGCTTACACACACATACACTCATGTATTCATATACATGAGTGCACATGCATGTGCATGCACATACACACACACACACACACACACACACACACACACCTGAACACATGCACATACTCTTCCAGATTGAGGTCATTTACTTCTTTCCCTTGAATATTTTTAAAACTATCACACTGGGTTAAGCTATTACATGTTCTATTCCAAAGAAATCTTAACATTCCTGCAAATAGAATCAAACTTCTGTTCAATTTTTATCTGTATCATACTTCATATGCATTCCTTTCTACATTTATTTAATTAAGTTTTATTTGGTAGTTTTTTTTTTATAGTATTAGGATCAAATCCAGGTCCTTAGAAATGCAAGGGAAAAGGATATTTCTAAGACCAAGCCACAGCCACAGCTGAAAGGTACTTCTGACCATCTATGTAGGTCAAGGTTGATCTAAGTCAAGCAAGCTTAGCATCAGACAAGAGTAATGACTTGTCTATTAATGGAACTTATAGTCTGGTCTAGTGTAGGAACCAATGAGAAAGAAAATTAACTAGACTCTAATTATTAGTTATAATATGAAATATGAATATCATTTAAGTATTTTGACATTGTTCTTTTAAACAGTCTCACTGTGTAGTCTCTAACACATGATCCGTGTTCTTTTATACGTCTTGAGTTCTGTGGTTCCAGGTATAATTACCACTACTCTTGACTTGATAAATTTATTATCATTTCAGTTAAGAGTTTCTTCTCGGGGGGAGGGGATGGGGTAAGGGGATAACACATGAAATGTAAATAAAACATCCAATAAAAAAAGAAAATTTATAGGGTAATAAAAAAAATCACTGACATCTAAAAAAAAGAGTTTCTTCTTTTGAAATGATAGCTTCAGTTAACCATCTCAAAGAAACATAATCTGCATTGAGCTCCAAAAGAAGAGAAGCATTCAGTCAAAAGAAAACAGACACACACGAAGGATGGTGCGTGCGTGCATGCGTGTGTGTGTGTGTGTGTGTGTGTGTGTGTGTGTGTGTGCAGTAACAAATGGCATAAGGATGAAGTAGAGCTGATATTTGAGTTTTTGAGAATCCTTATAAGGAGGAATTCAGCCTCACATCAGATGCACTCAGAAGCGAATGCAAGGTTTGGGCAGGACTAAAGAAGCCTAGCTTACATTTTCAAAGAGTCTAAATGCCGTACAGATAATAGATTGTAGGAAGTCAAAATGCTAAGTCCTGAGACAACTGAAAAAGTATATATGATGGCAGGTGGCCTGGCATGGATGAGTTTACATCAGTGAAAAATGAAGAGAAGGTGGAAGCTTGATATAGAGAAAGCCAACCCTTGTTGAAGTTGGCAAGGGAGAGGAAACAGGCAATTGTGAGCTTCAGAGTCCTGCCCCAGGGACTGCAAGGCAGTGAGTACATACAGGTAAATGGACCAATCTCTACAAATTTGAAGGAGAAATCAAATTTTACCTTTGAGTATTCTAGGTTCAGTTGCCTCTGAATCATGCAGCCAAATAAATATACTCAAAGATATGAATCTAAAATTTGGGGCAGAACATAAATGGAATATAAAAAGGTAAGTTCTCAGCATAAGTGATTCAAACACTTTCAATACTGTTAAGTGCTGAGTTGAAACTGTTTCTGTGTGTGTCCGTGCCTCTTTGCTGTCTATCTGTTTCTCTATCTCTCTGTCCCTCTCTCTGTCTGTCTGTCTGTCTGTCCATCTCTATCTCTGTCTTTGTCTCTGTCTCTCTCTGTCTCTGTCTTTGTCTCTGTCTCTCTCTGTCTCTGTCTCTCTCTGTGTCTCTGTCTCTGTCTCTGTCTCTGTCTCTCTCTCTCTCTCTCTCTCTCTCTGTGTGTATGTGTGTGTGTTTGTGCACGCCTGTGTGTACACATTGCGTGGAGTATAGCATTGAATCATCTTTACTTATTTTAATAATGTCTCTGCTACTTCCAGATGTGCATGGTAATTTAAGT